AAAGAGGGCACCTTCAATCCTTGATATGAAAATTGGTGGACGATGACCAAGTCGAGGGATTAAGACACTGTCCTCAGCTAATTAAAATCGGTTTGTTAGAGTCCCACAAACCCCCTATGCCTATAAGCTTCAACAATCAGTAGTAACGAGTTTGGCGACCAGGCCGCTACACCTCAGCCGTTCCTGCAGGAGCTAGGGAAGGGGGTGGGCGATCAGGAGGCGAAGAACATGGTGGTACAGATGCAATGCACATTGGAGACGGCAGAGGAACACGTGACTCTCGTCCTGCCCGGGGCATCCCCGACTCTTCTGTCACCCCGTGCGGACTCAATTGGTCACATTTTCCGACAGTGAGCTAGTCAGCTGTAACAGCCGTCGATTCCACCGGATGTGCGAGTGCCAGAGGCACGGGGCAATTTTGCACTTTCGAAACTCTACCTACTCGGTGCCGATAGGAAGCACCTGGACGTTACCTCGCCCGAGATTATGGGAACTGTAGGTAGTAGAGAACCGGACCGAACCGAACCAACTCTCTATGCGGCCAAACGGGGACTCTGGACAGCGGCTCTTGAGCAACGTGAGGCGAGTTTCTCTCTCACCCATTCATTTCTTTATCCTTTCCGGCTTGATGGGACAGTATGTTTACTCAGGGGCCGCGAACGGCCTCGCAATGTCTTTCATCAAGAATTCCCTATGCATTTGGTATGAGACCGTCTTGGCACCTAATTTCCATCGGTTTTAGAGCTCTGGTAGTGTTCTAAGACGAATGGGCACTTTTACCACGGGAACTCAACAGCTACCTGAGGCACTCTCGGGCGTCGATGTAGTTGTGTCCCTAAATGGTAGGTGCATACAACTATAAACAGACCCATCTCTGACTCTTATCCTCTTTGAGAGCAGGAGAGCGAAAAAATAAAGTGCGCTACAAGCATATGGCGCAGATATCCCCCGGGCTCGGGCTGTCGCAATTGTCGATCGCCATTCTCCCGATTGCCCGCGCTAACCGGCATCGAGCTAGCTCGGAACCGGTTCCAACGACTCTGCTGAGGTTCGATATGGAATGGGACCGTAGGCAAACGTTATGTTGAAATGCAGCGAGTCGCCGAACCAGCGGCAACCGATCCCGGAGGGACCTATGTGCAGGCTTTGGATACGCGAGAATCGTCCCGAAAATACTCGTGTGCACCACCGCCCTGTCAAGTGAGAGGAGTGTACAAGTTTTCTTTGCAATACTTATCGTGTCGAATTCTTAAGGACTAAGCCTACATCGCCACGGCCGAGTTCATTAAACTGTGCTTATGTTCAACGTCACTTTGAAGCCCGTTCCCTTTTTGGTTCTCCAAATATCCACGAAGCGAGAACATTATCATATGTACATCTCCTTGTAAATACACTATAAGCGCAGTAGTTAGTCTGTAAATTGCCTGATAACCACGCGTGCCACATCCAAAAACCGCAATTCAGCCATCCTCTTTCGTTCCCGCAGTTATTGAACCCCTCCCCCGTCTCTTGTAAGTTGCACAGATGATACGCTTAGCTTCCATCGAGTGATTTGCTGGAATTCACACGGGATGCAATTGATAGAGCCCTGCTTTGGTAGTTAGCACGCGGTGGTGTTAGGGAATCCGCGGGCCGACGGTTCGCGCCCCCCCCCCCCCACACACACGGGAATGTAGTGTGAGATCTTCATGTTGCGGCATACATTTAGCATATCTTAAAGCAGTTGTTTCCTCATTTTTGAGACCGTAGCGATAGAATTTAGCCGGTATTATGAAATGTAGCATCGTGCTCTTGCGCGCCTCATTGCAATAACCCTCGTCTCCCCACACACGGCGAAGCTTTAGTGTGAGATCTTCATGTTGCGGCATACCTGTAGCGCGTCCTAAAGCAGTCTTTTCCTCGTTTGGGAGATGGCAGCTATAGATTTTAGCCGGTATTTGGAGTGTAGCGTCGGGCTCTGGGAGCAGTGGTAGCGCTCCTCATCTCCAACAACCCTCGCCTCCCCGCACAACGACGGGGCTGTACCGTGAGATCTTAGCGTTGCGGCATACCTGTAGCATATCCAAAACCAGCAGTTTCATTCGAGAAAGGGTAACTATAGAATTTAGCCGGTATTCCAAAAGGTAATGTCGGGCACTTGGCGCAGTGGTAGCGCGCCTCATTTGCAATCACGTAATCTTGATTACGTAAGCTTGAGGAGGGCGTGGGTTCAATCCCCACAGTGTCCAGTGTAATTTTGATTACGTCATGCTTACGTCATTTCCTGCTAATTTCCTGTATTTTTCTTCTATTTTATTCTATTTTCTACGCTATTTATCTACTTTTGCTTGTAGTTTGTGCCGAAACATGACCAACCGGCGCAGTCTGTAGCACCATTCCACGACCACGACCAGCTACTACTCTGATGCTATCCTCCTCTTGCGCCCCCCCCCGTCATCAAGGACTGCGCGCCCGTACGCGGATCGATGAACAATTCACTCGAAACCGCGCCCAGAGAACGTTAATCCAACCTTCCCGGGCCTCAAAAACCTAAGAGCTGCGCAGGTGCTCTAATCTGAATGTAAAAGTATGCCTTATGAGTAGGTTTTGTGAGAGCCTTCGCTGAGATCGACTGTGAGCGGGGCTGCGCAAACGCCCTTCCCTTCGACGCACATAATCGAATCGAGCGAGCGCCTGGCAGTCGCGGGTGCCAATTTCCCGCAGAGGAGAGGCAACGAGCCCGAGAGTGCAATCTGAACGGCGTTGCTGCGGCGGTGCTCTCAAAGCATCTTCAATGCCGCCGATCTCAGGTCGGCCTTCAATGAGCAGCAAACCTTATGCTGTACTATTCAGCTCAAGCTTCTTTACTGAGAAGACGGGGAAGCTCGGGAAGCTTGGGAAGCCGCTCACACAGGCCTTTGATTTGTGGCCTGGTTTCTCGGCATTTCTTTCGAGGGTTCGAGGACCAGTCATTTATCCACTCCAAGTCGGTTTATCCTCCACGGCGCTCATCGACGACTCTCCACTGATTAAGCCAAGCTCGGCTGCGCAACAGCACAGCTCTGCCCGCAGACCGGCCTAGGGTGTGCTTTCGCCGTAGAAAGCCGCTCGCTTCCGAAATATCCCTCTATCGTCGCCGAGGCGTCCCCGCATGACGACGAGAGTTTCATCATCAGACCTCTTGACCCTTCCAAAGATCGTCAATTCCGGTACCAGATCCGTGGCCCTTGCATTCGATGGCCAGGCCTGACCGCGGCCCTGAACGGTCCGCGCGCGAAGTTTCCCCGCCGGTCAGCGCCAACCATTGCGACCCCATCTCCGCCACAGCGTCAGTACTGATCTCGTTCAGGAGAACCAGTGACCTGACGCTGAGTGAATTCCCGAAACAATGGAAAGTGAAACACCTGTCAGGCAAAAAGTGAACTTTGAATGGGCGGGGGACCACACATCCCACAGCTAGGCTTGGGGAACACAGGGGTCATCGATGCCAGCAGCGAGCATGCGAGCCGTGCTGTTATTTCTCATACCCATGCGCTGCTCAAGAGGCTGCGCTTTAATGCGTATAAAATAGGTGCTAACGGCGAGAGAGACACGAATAACAACAAACCTCGCCATGTCATCGAAACGCCAACGTTTAGGCCCCTGTGCCGAGTGCTTGCGACGTGAACGGGTAAGCCTCTGCTTAATTTTTTTTTTTCGAGTTTTCATGATTCGCATGTTTTAGACGTGTGACGGGCTCTACCCAGAATGCGACTACTACCGGCGTTCAATGCCAGGACCCAATTTGCGCCCGCGGCAAGCACGCATTAGGAATGAACAACAATACCTCTCGGACAGAGTGCGTGAGCTTGAAGCAGAGCTTGATCGTCTCTCGGGAATATCGGGAACGGCTTCCCCTCCGGGTTCCGGGGGCTCTCCAGAGCGAGAGGATGGACCAGGCGAGTATGAAAGCTTTCTCAAGATCCCGAATGTCTAACATTATGCCAAATTTTAGCTCCCCCTTCACCATTTGACCAGCCACCAACAGAGATGAACGGCAATTGGTGGTTGCAGAACGAGCTGGCCCCCGCGAATAGAGATTATCTGTGAGTCATTAAATCTCGTCGACCAGGCAGCATCATTAACCCTACGCAATAGCCTTCAGATATTCTTTAACGTCGCTCACTATTACCATATACACCCTTACCATCGAACATTTCAACAAAGACTTGTATCAAGAGACTCGACAAACTACCCCCATCCATCCTTGCTCAACGCGATGTACCTCATCGCTTGTGCATCGACGTTCCCGTTTCCCCAAGGCTCTCAGTATTCGCTAACCCACCTCGAGGATCACTTCCTCAGTCGAACGCGAAAGTGCCTAAGCGAAAGCTTGGGCAACGCTGATCGCCTGCTTGATTACCTAAGAGCGAGCAGCGTTCTTTCGGCGTACCTCAATTCCAGCGGTCGGCACCTTGAGGGGTGCGTGCGTTTTTGATGTGGCTCTACGCAGGATTAATAATCTCGACTTGCTTTATTCCCGCAAAGGTATCACCATCATTGCGGGGCGGCACGGTTGGCCCTAGCCTGTGACTTGCACAAACTCCCTCAACCGACCAGCTCCTTTCAACAACCCCCTCACACTTACTCGGGCTCAGGGCACCAAGGGCTTGTTCCCCCAATTACAACACTGACTGAAATTGTTGAACGGATCCACATATTCTGGAACCTTTTTGTTCAAGATCGGGTCTACGCGGTCGTCTACGGCCTCGCCCCAGCACTGGATGAAGAGACAGACCAGTTAATGACGCCACTTCCTCTGCTGTCATATGAAGATGATAATGTAAGCGTTAATGTTTTGAGGCTCTGTTGTTCGTCTCCTAACGCCACCTGTCAACATCGGTCATCAGCCCAACATCGAAAGCAGTGCCAGTGACTCCATCTCCGACATCCTGAATTCCCTCACAACAGAAGGCTTAGAAATGAACTGGCTTGAATCGGAATTTGCCGTGGAAGTTGTTTCGTTGGCCCTTCTTCACAAGGCTAAACGGGCATCTGCGGCGAGTCCACGTGGTACGTAGCATTCCCTCTCCGTCAAAAACCCGCCAGCACGCTTATGACAGGAACAGCCATTCAGGCATTGCTAATGTGCAACAATACTATCCTTAACAGAGTTGGGGACGGCGAGGTCGATCTAAGCCGTGCCCACTCCGTTTGCATTCAGAGTGTGGCCCAGCTAACTGCCGTAGAGTTTCTTAAATCGTCAACGGAACCTGGATCGATGAGCGATCCAAATATAATTCGACATGCTCGAACTATCTATGAATTGGCTTTAGTGCTCTCTAAACGGGATGAAGCCAGGCCTTGCCCCTTGCAGCGAGTAAGTTCAAGTGAGCCACTGGATGGCGTGATGTTGACAGGAACGCTTCTCCAGTTTTGTTGGCAACAGGCCTCGGCTTGGCTCAGGCAATACAGAGAGAGGATTCTGCCCCTCCGGAACGTTGGAGACCCTGAAGTCGCCGACCTCAAGTCGTGCATAGCCTTCCTGGAACAAGCCGTGCTGAAAGCGGAAAGGTGAGTTCGGCACCAAT